AGTCGACCGCGGTTCGCGTCCTGGACCTGGTGGCTTGAAACTCACGCCAGGCACGTGTGCGTGCGTGCCCGCCCAAGATCCCGAGAGGAGAATGGAGGAGAAGGGATTGCGGCGTGACCATCCCCCCTGGGGGGTGATTTCTCGCTTTCTGTCTCTAATGTCTCTGTCTGTCTGGCGAGCGCACGCGCCCTATAGTGAAAATCTCTCAAAAAAAAAAAAAAACAACTTTGAAGAATCCATTTACTATATAACATAATGCACAGATTATAAGGGGGAAAATCACTTTCTATTTCTTTCTCTCTCTCTGGCAAGTGCACAAGCCCTATAATAAAAATCTCTCGGGAACCAGCAGTTAGCATAATGGCTATGTCACTGGACTCCCACATAGTCGACCGCGGTTCGCATCCCAGACTCAGTGGCTTAAAGCTCACGCCAGGCATGTGTATATACGTGCCCAAGATCCCAAGAGGAGAATGGAGGAGAAGGGATTGCAGCGTGACCATCCTGTGACCATCCAACTTGAGGGGTGATTTCTTGCTTTCTGTCTCTATGTGTCTCTCTGTCTGTCTGGCGAGCACACGCGCCATATAGAGAAAAAAACCCCCAAAAAAAAAAAAAAAAACCCCCCCTAAAAAAAAAAAAAAAAAAGAATTTTTAAAAGGCTAACTCTTGGGGCTGGCAGGTGGCATAGTGGTTAAGGGCAATGGATTCCCACATGGCCGACTGCGATTCGAGTCCCGGACCTGGCAGCTTGCTTTCTCACTTTCCCTCTCCTTCACTCTCTTACTCTGTCCCTCTCTGTTCAAGCTAAAACAAACAAACAAACAAATAAATAAAAAATAATAATTATTTAGAAACAAAGAGGCCAATTCTACCCAAACTGTTGAAACTAAAAAGAATAAGGTTCAATTACCTCAGCATAAGTCTGAGGTACTCACAGTAGGATACAACGTAAACTTTCAACACAATTTTCTGGCTGCAGTGGTAAAGGCAAAACTAGATATATATATATATATATATATATGACTATATTCATTTACTTCCTCATTCTTTAGGCAAATATCCAAATGCTGCCACTTTAGTACCAAAAAAATCTGTACCAAATTTAGTCTGATTACTATTTATATTTAAAATGTGAACTTTCTCAATCTCTTTCTGAATAAATACACCACAAAGCAGACTGAATTTTTACAAGCAGAGAACAAATTCTAACACAAGACCTTAAAGAGTATAAATATATTTTAAAAATTAGATGCCAAGTAGGGAATAAAAGATTATTTTCTGGATGATATGGGAAGCAGTAAGGTCTTAAACCAAAATATTCCACCTATATTAACAATTCTGAAGAATTAAATACTAGTAAGTTTAGGATCTAAAAATTGCAACCATTAACATAAATTTTTAGTGTTTCTTTTTTTCCATCATAAATGACTGTATTTGTAGGGCATCAATCAGAGATTCTCAGATTCTCAACTACACCTCATTGTGTAGTGAGAAAAAAAGGGCATACATTGTACCTATAATTTGTAAATAATGATAATCAGTGACATGTACACCAAGAATTTATATAAAGTCTCATTACGAGCCACAATGCACATCTACAATGGATTACCAGGTAATTTTGTTAGAAGAATTATTCATTTATCATCATTATTTTTTATAATTAGCTACGGGCCATATGCCCTCAACTGAGAGAGATAGAGAAAGAATGTAAAGTGAGAAAGCAAGTTGCCAGGTCCTGGACTCAAACCACAGTCAGCCAGGTAAGACTGCAGCACCTAACCACCAGGCCACCTGCTGGTCCCACCAGGTATTTTTTGATATGATATAGAAAAAAAATTAGAACAGGATTAAAATGGAATACTAGCCCAGCACCACAGCACAGTGGTAATACACTGCTTAAGAGATGCAGGATCCCACTCGGCAAAAATGTTTCCAGTCCACTTGCCAGATCAGCCTAAAACATGCTAGGCACAGGCAAAAAGGGTCTAAGATCCAATAGGCTGAAAGACTGAAGAAAATCCAAACCCTATGAAGGCTGCTCCTCTTTCTTGTCATTTTCTCATTCTCACATGTGCGTGCACACATTTTATCACGAACAAAAGTTAAAAAATAAAAAAAGGAATGCAGACACAGAATGTTAAAAATAAGCATCTTTCTTTCACTATATCTTGGGTCTTCTGAATTAAAACAAGTCAAAATGTACGTATTTCTAAATACTATCAGGTCAGGAAAGACATGACGCATTTTTGCATAGAAACACAGAAAACTATATTATGACTTTTCTGATGACATAATATATAGCAAACTAGCACACTAAAGAAGAGACTAGAATATTCTAATTAAGGTGATTCTGAATTATTCCCTAGATAAGTAAGAACAGTTTAATGTGTTACTGCTTTCTATGCAGGTTTGAATGTAATTTTACTCTATTACTTTTACAGTATGACCCAGAATCTTAAAATATTTACAAAAACAAAAATACTTACCATTTCAGATAATATCATATCAAATGAGTCATGTCAGTTTCAAATGGCTTCATCTAAGTAAAAGAAGTTTCCCAAGTATACAGGATGCTCTTTCTTACTTCTTTCAATCACTATCTTTCCCCAACTAACTCCTTCCCTAAAATAGTATTTATTTTCCATGCTATTATTAGATAATTATGGCCCTAAAAAAAAAAAAAAAAAGGGTGACGCAAGATGGCAAAGTATTTAAGTTAACAAGAAAAAGTGCTCCATGGTAATGGCAAAGTAGAAGAAGGACAAAACACACTTGAAAACACAAAAATTAGGGACCAGCAGTTAGTGTAATGGCTATGTTGCTGGACTCCCACGTAGTCGACTGCGGTTCGAGTCCCGGACCCGGTGGCTTAAACTCACACCAGGCGTGTGCGCGTGTGTGCCCAAGATCCTGAGAGGAGAATGGAGGAGAAGGGATTGCGACGTGGCCATCCCCCATGGGGAGTGATTTCTCGCTTTCTGTCTGTCTGTCTGGTGAGCGCACGCGCCCTATAGCAAAAAACCTCTCCAAAAAAAGAAAGAAGAAAAGAAAAAACACAAGAATTAGAAGAACACAATGAACAGAAAGTTTCTTCAATAAATGGTGTTGGGACAGCAGTACATCCACACGCAGAAGGATGAAATCAGACCCTTCTCTCACACTAGATACAAAAATCAACTCAAAACTAATTAAAGACGTGAACAGAAAACCTGGAACTATAAAACTACTAGAAAGAAATACAGGGGAGTGAGAATAGCTGTTGGAGTAATGGCTATGTCACTGGACTCCCATGTAGTCAATAGCGGTTTGAGTCCCGGACCCGGACTCACTCCAGGCACATGTGCGTGCATGTCCAAGATCCTGAGGAGAATGGAGGAGAAGAGACTGTGGCGCAGCCATCCCCCCTCGGGGGTGATTTCTCACTTTCTATCTCTCTGCCTCTCTCTGTCTTTCTGGCGAGCCCACATGCCCTATAGCAAAAACCTCTCCAAAAATAAAAAAAATACGGGGGAGAAGTTCTGTGACATTGGTCTGGATATGACCCCAAAAGCAAAAACAGACAAATGAAGTTACTCTGGAGCCAGCCCTATAGCATAGTGATTATGGGACCAGATACCACAAGGTTAACCACAGTTCAAATCCTATACAGTGATTTGAGAAACATGCCAGGCACACGTGAGTATGTGTGAATAAAGAATTAGAAGAAAAAGTAATCAGGGCATGATCACATCCATTAACAGGTACTTTTCTCTCTCTCTGGCAGGTGCACATGCCATCTAGCAATAAAAACATAATGTAAGTCTTTTGTAGAAAACAGCCAAGAAACAATCAAGAGAATAAAGAGACAACTTGGAGAAAGGGAGAAAATATTTTCAGAGGGATCAACATCCAAAATATATAATAAACCCAAGCAATTCAGAAGTAGAAAATAGACTAATTAAAATATGTCCAAAGGACCTAAGCAGACATTTCTCTAAAGACTTGGGAACCAGCAGTTAGCGTAATGGCTATGTCGCTGGACTCCCATGTAGTCAACCGCAGTTCGCGTCCTGGACCCGGTGGCTTAAAACTCACGCCGGGCACGTGCACGTGTGTGCCCAAGGTCCCGAGCGGAGAATGGAGCAGGGATTACGGCATGACCATCCCCTCTGGGGGGTGATTTCTCGCTTTCTGTCTCTATGTCTCTCTATGTCTGTCTGATGAGCACACGTGCCCTATAGCAAAAACCTCTCCAAAAAAAAAAAGACTTAAAATGGTGAACAGGTACATGAAAAACAATGTTCAATATCACTAACCATCAGAGAAATGCAAATTAAAACCAGTGACACATCATTCTGTTAGAATGGCGATTTTCAAAAAGATGAAAGATAAGTATTAGCAAGGACGTGGGAAAAGAAAACCCTGGTATACCATTAGTGGAAGTGTAAATTAGTATAGCCATTATGAAAAAGTGCAAGGAGTGTCCTCAAAAAATTAAAACTACCCAGGATCCAGTATTCTACTACTGGGTATATATCTACAGAAAATAAAATAATTATGTTAAAGAGTCATCTGCATTTCCATGTTCACTGGAGCATTATTCACGATAGCCAAGATTATGGAATAAACTTAAGAGTACATCAGTGGGAAACCAGCAGATGGTGTAATGGTAACATTGCTGAACTCCCACGTAGTTGACCATGGTTCAAGGCCTGGACCTCATGACTTAAGACTCATGCCAGTTGTACGTACATAAAATGCCAAGAGGAGAACGTAGGAGAAGGGATTGTAACATGGCCATCCCCCTGGGAGGTGATTTCTCACTCTTTGTCTCTCTGGCAAGCACATGTGCCCTATAGCAAAAATATCTCTTAAAAAAAAAAGAAAGAAGGAAAAAGAAAAAAAAAAGAAAAGCCTTATATGTGTATCAATTTTAGATAAGAAAACATCTTACCAACTATAAGCTTCTGCTCATTTTATATGCATACAAATTTTTAGGAATATATACTTGCTCTTACCTTTAGATTTGGGGACTAGTTCTCCACAACTGAGTATCCGTACCTCAGCAAATGGTTTGCTAGCTGCATCTGTTTTCTGATTTTCTATCTCTCTCACAACTTCTTGACCAGAGATTACTTGCCCAAAAACAACATGATGCCTAATGAGTCAAATAAAGATGATTAAATAAAAGTTTCTTATTTTAATATTAATTTAAAGTGCGTTGTAAAATAAATAAAATAATCTTTACCCATCCAAATGCGGAGTTGGCTTTGTTGTTCTTTTTGAAGTCATCAGATAGAATAAAAACAAAGTCAGAGAAAAACAAAGTTAGCACCTCTAAAAAGGAAAAGAAAATAACTGCATTGGAAACAAAGTTGAAAACAAAGAAATAATATGCTATCTTAACATAACAAAAGACCATATTACCTTAACCTTAACAGAACAGGATCATAAGATATCTTAAAAATACAATGTTTTCCCGGGGAACAGCAGTTAGCGTAATGGCTATGTCACTGGACTCCCACGTAGTTGACCACAGTTCGAGTCCCGGACCCGGTGGCTTAAACTCATGCCGGGCGCGTGTGCATGCATGCCCAAGATCCCAAGAAGAGAACGGAGGAGAAGGGATTGCGGCATGGCCATCCCCCCTGGGGGGTGATTTCTCACTTTCTGTCTGTCTGGCTGGCTAGTGCACATGCCGTATAGCAAAAACCTCTCAAAAGAAAAAAAGAGGGAACCAGCAGTTAGCATAATGGCTATGTCGCTGGACTCCCACGTAGTCAACTGTGGTTTGTGTCCCGGACCCGGTGACTTAAAACTCACGCCGGGCGCGTGTGCGTGCGTGCCCAAGATCCCGAGAGGAGAATGGAGAAGGGACTGTGGCATGACCATCCCCCCTTGGGGGTGATTTCTCACTTTCTGTCTCTATGTCTCTCTCTGTCTGTCTGGCAAGCGCACGTGCCCTACAGTGAAAATCTCTCCAAAAAATAAAAAAAGAAAATAAAAAAATAAAAAAAAAAAAGATGCATTTCTGCACAGAAAAATATATCATGACTTTTCTGATGACCCAATAGAACCCCTGTACATTGCTGGTGGTATTATGAAATGGTGCAACCATTTGTGGAAACCATTTTGGCAGCTCCTCAAAAATCTAAAACACATTACCATACGTGCCAGCAATTCCACTCCTGGATCTATACCCATAAAACCTGAAAGAAGTTCAAAATGCCATTTACTGCAGCATTCACAATAGCCAAAAGGTGGAGACAACACAAATGACCATCAACAGATGGAGAAACAAAATGTGGTATATACCTACAGTGGAGTATGATACAGCCATAAAAATGAATGAAGCATTGATAGCTGTTACAATATGGTTGAAACTTGGAAGTATATTAAATGAAACAAGCTGGTCACAAAATGAACAAATGCTGTAAGATTCTCCTGAAATGAAGATTTTTAGATAGACAAATTCACAGAAACAGAAAGTCATCAGAAGTTGGGGAAAAGGGAAAAAAAGTCTCTGGAATGATAAAATAATTCTGGAAATAAAATAGTGGAGATGAAAAAAATTGGGGAGATGACTATACGAATTGTGAATGTAATAAATGTTACTGAATGATACCACTTACAAATGGTTAAAATGGCAAATTTTATACTATATAAGTTATAGAAAATAATTTTTTTTTAAAGACTAAAGCTATCAGGACCAGCAGATGGTGTAATGGTTAACTCATGTCGTGCAAATATGCATTGGTGCCCAAAATCCTGAGAGGAAAATGGAGGAGGGATTAAGGTGTGGCGTTACCCCCGGGAGTGATTTCTCAATTTCTGTCTGTCTCAGCAAGCACATGTGCCCTGCAGCAAAAATAAACTCTCTCTCTCTAAAAAAAAAAACAAACTAAAGCTCTCTAAAACCTGGTTGTTTCCTTTAACATAATAAAACACAGAAACAGCATTATCTAGAAATAGGAGAAATCAACATATCATATACAAGATTCTGAGTACATATTAAAGATTATGTGAACTTAAATGAGGATTCTGGTTACCAAGGGAAGAATTTATTTATTTTAAGAAGTTTTTGCCTTAGGTTGTGTGTGCTTGTTGGGGGGTGGGGATGGGGCAGATAGAGTGAGCGGAAAAGTGAGAAATCAATTCCCAAGGGAATAGCTACTCAGCAATCCCTTCTCCTCCATTCTCCTCGGGATCCTGGGCATGCACACACACGCACCCAGCATGATTTTCAAGCCACCGGCTCTGGAACTCAAACCATAGTCGGCCATGTGGAAGTCCAGTGATGTAACTGCTATACCATCTGTTCTCAGGAAGAATTTTTTATAGAGAAGAAGATATTTAATAATACTGTGTTGTTGAGGATATGATGAAGTTAACAGCACTTACATACTATTTAGGCTTTACTGCTGATAATCATTGTAGCAATATATACAGAAGGGCTTTAAAATATGTAGACATGTTTGGGGGTTTGGGGCATGCATGCACATGTGCCGTGCATGAGACCTCCATGAGCTTTAAGTTGCCAGGTCTAGGACTCTAATTGTGGTTGATTACGTGGGAGTCTAGTGACATAACCACTGTGTCATTTGCTGGTCTCACTAAGTCGGCTTCTAACAAGGTATGTTAAAAAAAACTCATCAAACATTAGGCACAATATTCATTGTAGCAATTTGAAAAACAAGAAGGCAACCAAATGTCCAAATGAAAATAGCAATACACAGTGCATTCAAATAATAAATTAACACATAAAAATGTATTCAATAACTGGACCATATGAAAACATATTTACTAAATATTAAAGTTGTTCTGGATACCTTTTTTGTTTTTTTGGCTTATCTGTGTTTTTGTAATTTTCTACAATAGAGAGGTAATACAGATTGTTTTTATTGAAAAAAATTAAAGACCCAGGACCAGCAGATGGAAAAATTTTTTAAATGTGTGTTTTTTATGTTTACTTAACAAAAAGAAAGGAAGATAAATAAAAAAATCTCAGGGCTGGTTGCTACCACGGTTGAATGGGAATAGGATGAAAAAGGGGGATGGGAATGAAGAAGGGTTCAATATGAATGACACTTTAAGGTTATTCTTTTTGTTTTGACTTTTGAAATCATGTTAATACTTTATAAACTTAAAAAGTGAAAATAAAACAGTCAAGAGAGAACAAAACAAAATATAATCAGAAACAAGCAAACCTAATATATTTTGAGTAATTTATAAAACCACACAAAAAAGTACTAAACTAGGAGCCAGAAGATGGTACAGTGGTTACGTTGCTGGACTTCCACATAGCTAATCATGGTTTAAGTCCCAGGCTTGGTGGCTTGAAATTCACCCCAGGCATGTGTGCCTGGGGGGCTCAAGATCCCAGAAGGAGAATGGAGGGGAAGGAATTGTGAGTGGCAATTCCCCCAGGGAGTGATTTCTCACTTTCCCTTTCTCTCACTCCAGGGAGCACACACACTCTATAAAAAAAAAAATCTCTTTCGGGACCAGCAGTTAGCGTAATGGCTATGATGCTGGACTCCCATGCAATGAATCACAGTTTGAGTCCCGGACCCGGTGGCTTAAACTCATGCCAGGCGCATGTGCGTGCATGCCCAAGATCCGGAGAAGAGAATGGAGGAGAGAAGATTGCGGTGTGGCCATCCCCCCTGTGGTGTGATTTCTCACTTTCTATCTCTCTGTCTGTCTCTGTCTTTCTGGCAAGTGTAAACGGCCTATAGCAAAAATCTCTCCAAAAACAAAAACAAAACACACTTCTTTCCCAAAAAAAAGTTCTACTCTAAGTCACTAACTTTTTAAAAAATACATAATCTGTCTAAAATAAATAATTATAAATAGTGAATTATAGTAGGTTCTTTTTCACAGTAGTGAAAGACATAATTGTTTATTCTATGATTCAGCAAATGAGTAGGATTATTAAAGATAACAAAAGACAGGTTCCTCACTGTTGAAGGGAATAACAAAATTGGAATTGGGGCTACCAGGTGGCATGTTGATTGAGGCACTAGATGCCCACATGGCCAACAGTAGTTCAAGTCCCACACCTGGTGGCTTGCTTCCTCACTTTCCCTCCTCTCTCTCTTTGAGTGCACATGCCCTATTGCAAAATTGAAAAAAATAAATATTTAAAATTTTTTAAAAATGAAATTGGGAAACACTAGAATAAACATAGGACTCAAAATTAAGTTCCTCAGAGACCAAGAGAGTTCAAGGCTACTGTGCAAATCTGTACTCACAGGATAAGAAAAGCCCTAGTCACAATCTTGTGGTCATACTGAAAAACTTTAAGAGTACTGACATCAAGGTTACAAATAAATTTTAGCAAGTAAGTGAATTTACAAATACAGAATCTGAAACTAATGAGGACTCTGTTCTATTCTTTGTAATTAAGCAACTTATAGATAGTGGATACAAATACCATTTCCATTAAAGTTGTCCCTCTACATTTAGTATGCTTAGAAGATTCTTGCCTGAATCAACTATTGTAATGACTACAAAATGGTGACTTTTCCAACTTCACCCCAACATACCTTTATTTATCAGTTGACATTCTATTAAGGGAAAAGCTTTCCCTTCTATCTCATTTTTATTTTGCTATATGACTCATGTGCTCACCAGAAAGAGAACAGAGAGAGAGAGGTAAAGCTAGAGCAATTCCTACTCCTCCATTCTCCTCTTAGGATTTTGGTAATGTATACATATGCCCCTTGCATGATTTTCAAGCCCTGGGTCCAGGACTAAAACCATGCAGTCAGCCATGTAGGATCCAGCCACCTTATCCACCATGCTACTGGCTGACCCTCCCTTCATTATTTATTTATTTATTACACCAGTATAGATTCCTGGATTCCTATTTGATTATAATCTAATGTTATTGTTATTTATTTTGATGCTTGAATTATCCTAATTTAGCCACTGGGAACCCATTTAGACCTGTGATCTCCTGATGAGCTCTGTAGTTCAAAGTTTAGCAGCAAAGTTCAAATCCCCACCTTGAGCAATTTTCCCCTTTTCAACAATTCTTTGTAACCTGTGCTTCAATAACTCCCCTTTTTATGAATTTCTCTTCTATTTATAAGTGATTACAGTACAAAGAGAAACAATAGACCAAATACGGGACATTTTAAATGATCAGATCATAAATACTTACATAAAGAACTGTGAACCATTTGTATCCTTTCCTCTGTTGGCCATTGACAAGAGAAATTCTTTGTTGTGTTTAACTGCAAAACTCTCATCTATAGAGGAAAGTTCTCAGTCAAATTATAAGCATAACATCCAAAATAATTCATTTCTACTCCTCTTCATAGCTGACATGTTCTCCACTCTTTTTTTTTTGGGGGGGGAGAGATTTTTGCTATAGGACGTGTGCACTCGCCAGAGAGACAGAAAGCAAAAAATCACCCCCCTTCCCCCCCCAGGGGGGAATGGCCATGCTGCAATCCCTTCTCCATTCTCCTCTCGGGATCTTGGGCATGCACACACACACACCCAGCGTGAGTTTTAAGCAACCGGGTCCAGGACTTGAACCACGGTCGACTACATGGGAGTCCAGCGACAAAGCCATTACGCCAACTGCTGGTCCCTGCTCTTCACTCCTCTTTATACCTGATGTGTTCTTTAGTGCCAGACACAACTTAGATGACAAAGTTAAATTATGAAAGGAAAAAAATCAAATATGAATCATCTCTCCTCCCATCCTTTTAGATTAATGAGTGTGTATGTACGTACAAAGGGCATATATACTCATCAGGAAGAGAGACAGAAGCAAAGTGAAAAGCACCCCCAGAAATGGTTATACTGCTATCTCTTCTCCATCTCTACCTCCCTTTGGGATTTTGTGTACACATACTTGCACACACAAACCTTGTGTGTTTCTCAATCCACTGGTTCCAGGACTTTAACTGAGCAGTTGGCCTAGCAGAATCTAGCTGCCTTAACCAACATACCAAAGCTGGTTCAAATTAAAATATTAAAAATTTCCAGGGCCAGAGAGGTTAAGGTACTAGATCTCATGTGGCAGACTACACGGTTTGAGTCCTAGACCAGTAGCTTGAGAATCATACCAGGAGCAAGTGTGTGCATGCCTAAAACTCTGAGAGTAGAGAAGAGAGTATAATGCCATCCCCACTGGGGAGTGATGTCTAACTTTGCTGCTTGTTGTCCCTTTCTGTCGGGTGAGTGCACTCACTCTCTAGTAAAAACTTCAAAAAATAAAATGTTTTTAAATTTTCTATACCCTGCTTATAAACCCAAATGCTGAGTCAATCCTCCTTCTCTCCATTTATATTGGCCTTTTACAATTAATGGTGGGGGAGAAACATAACTTTCTTTACTTATTTAAACAAAAACAAAAACTCTCCTGAAAAACAAGAGAGTCCGGTGAAATTCTTTTACATTTCATGTGTTCCATTCCTGAGCACAGATGCTATTATTTAATCTGCACTCATTAACATCTGCAAAAGCATCACTTAATACAAAGAGAACTTTGTCTTCTAATCTTGGATATGTTTAGATACACAAACACCATTGTATTATAAACACCTCGAGTATTCATTCAGTACAGCAAAATGCTATACAGGCTTGTCGCCTAGGAACAATAGATTATGCCCCATAGACTAAGTGTAGAGTATGCTATATCATTCAGGTTTATGTAATAACACTATATTATGTTAGCACAATAGCTCAATTGCCTAGCTGCACATTTCTCAAAATATACCCCCTTTGTTAAGTGATGCTTGTTTATTACATACTGTTAGATGAATAATCTTATTGAATCAAATGAGTATAATATAATGAAAACACTAAAAACATAATTTAAATGTTAACATCTTTACCTTCAAAAAATCCTCCATAAATAGATTCCCCTCCTCGCCCATTGCCTAGGAATAAAAAAGACTCTTAAGACTCTCAAGATACTAAGCTCTTTGAAGGTGCTACCTAAACAAAATACTTCTTATAAAGTAGGTGTTCTAATGATTTTTTTTCAATCAACACTACTTAAAGGGTCACAATGAATCATAGCAAATAATAATTCAATGTTAATAATCATAGGATCCTAAATTACTTCATTTCCCCTAGATACATGGTAAGAAAGTGACAAAACCTAATAAGCTATTATTGATTAAAAACCCTTTCAGATTCCAACGATGATTATAGAGGCTTTTTAACAGGAATTAATGACATCCTCTCAAAGTATCTAAAATACAACTTCCCTGTTTTTAAGAAATAAAGTAAATACTATGCATATTAAAGATGATCAATCGTGACAAAAATCACACACTATAGATTACGAAGAGATAGTCTTTTGCATCAAGAAACAAAGTTGTAAAATTAATCCATGTATCAAAGGTGAAATTATTTACTATGTGCTTCCTTCTTTTATATATTTCTAAGAGAACTGCTATGATCGTTTGATTAAAGACTAAGTGGAGTGAGAATATAACTGAACTAAGATACAGACTTGTTGAGATCTGTGATATTTAAGAATGCAAATAAATTATTTTCTTTTATAGTAATCAAAGTCTCACCTTCACTGAAGTCACCACCTTGAACCATAAAATCCTTGACAACTCTGTGAAAGAGACAACTCTTATAATGTAATGGCTTTTGAGTTGACTTTCCTGTCCCTTTTTCACCTGTATAGAGAAAAATTCAGAGAACACATAAAAAAAGGAAATCACGGAAGTAGTGATAAAGCAAAATTAATGGCAAAAACTTTTGCTAAACGAAAGCCTTGAACTTTATAGACTTCTTTAAACAATAGACTATTCACCCCCTTCAGCAATTAAAAAAAAAACAAAACAATTTACAGGGTCTGGCAGGTAGTGTGATGGTTACTACGCTAGACTCCTGTATGGCTGACCACGGTTTGTGTCCTGGACCTGGCGGCTTGCTTTCTCTCCTTCCCTTTCTCTCATCTCTCTCTCTGGTCAAATTAAAAAATATTAATAATAAATACTAACAACAAATAGAATTAAATGATTAAAAAAAAAAAAACTGATTCACATTTTTTTGACAAGTATGGAAATCAATCTCCTCATAATCTCCCATTACAATTAATATTCTTTTTGTCTATTGCCAGAGGGTACATGTGCTCACCAGAGAGAAGGAGAGGGGGAGAAAGCATCCTCTAACGTGGACTAGTCATATTGTAATCCTTCCTCCTCTATTTCTCTATCCTATCAAGGTTTTGGCAAATACCCACATGTAACCAGCGTGTTTTCAAGCCGCCAGAGCTAGTATTCTAACTGCGGTTGGCCATGCAAGGGACTTGGCCCCCTAACCACAAAGCAATGTGGCCAGTCTCATTACTTTCAAGTCCTAATCAGTGCAGCACAATCTTCATATTAAAAGTAATGTGCACAAAGAAATATAAAATATAAATACTTAAAGCAAGCATAGTCAAATGGGACTATCAGGACAATTGAAAATATAAACAAACCTGTACAAAGACAACGGAAATTCTCGCATGTTTTGGGGCACACATCAGAAAATAATTCAAAGACAACTCTTCCAGCTGAAAAAGAAGGCATTTTGTTTAAACCTCCTTACAAACTGAAAAAATACTCATTTATAAATGTTAACTAGAAACATTAGTAATCTTACCAGGTTGATTGTTAATAGCGATGTCAAAAAAACATCGAGGACGTTGAACCTTTATTCCCATGGCTCCAATACTTCAACCTATGAGTAAAACAGAGTTTTAGACAAAAAAAATAAAATAGCAAAGATTTTTCATAAATTTTAGGGGAAATAAACCCTGAAGCATAAACTAGAATCATGGTTTGAATTAATTCTTATATTTACTTTTATAAGATAAACATAATTATTAGTCCTTTCTTTCTACAGATATTTTGTATTTTCCAGGAAAAAAGAAACAGAAAAGACTTGAAAGATAAAGCTTAGTTATTATCATACAACCAATATTATCATACAACAATAAAGTACTTTATTGTACTTTATTAACCAAATATAAACTGACAGTCCAAGAGAAAATTATAATAACTGTATGATTAGTGAAGTCAACAGGCAGATTACCTTTAGTTGAAGACCAAAAAAAAAAAAAAAGACAGTTGATCCAATCTTTTTTCTCCTAGAAAAGAAAAATGAGAGTTCTGATTAAAATTTGAGGCTTTTGGGACCAGCAGATGGCATAATGGTTATGTCATAGGGCTCCCACGTAGTCAACCATGGTTCAAGTCCTAGAACTAGTGGCTTCAAACTCACACCGGGCACCTGTGCATGCATTCCCAAAATCCCAAGAGGAGAATGAAGAAGGGATTGCAGTGTGGCCATCCCCCCTGGGGGTGAGTTCTCACTTTCTGTCTCTCTGACGAGCACACATGCATAACCTATAGTTAAAATCTCTTAAATAAATAAATAAATAAATAAGTTAGACATTCAAAAAGAAACACATTTAAATTCCTAAACAACCAAAATAAGTCTAGGAAGAAAAAGGGGTATTTATGATACATTGATATTTTGAGTAAAAGAACATTAACTTTTACATGAGACTACTTTTTGATAATGAATGACAGCTTTTAAAGACACACCAATATAGACACATACACACAAAATTAGTGACTGCAACAGCTTTGACCTACAAAGCAGGGGGCTATTATTTAACAAATTATTTTGATACGATATTAACATTTTTATTCATGATAGAGCAGGTAGATGATAGAGCAGGTAGAAATGTAGTGAGCAAGCGCAAAAAGCACCTTCCACAGGGTTTGGTCACACCACAATTCCCTTCATGCAGTCCTTCAGCCCACCAGGATTCTAGACAAACAGGAATGTGCCCCATGTGTTTCCAGGCTGACTGGGCTGGAGGCTCAAACTGTGGTCACCATGTGGTTACCAGCTCCACAGTGTGGGTATACTTCTGATTATGCCACAAAATTTTTTAAGATATTTTAGCCATAGGGCAAGTGAGCTCACCTGAGAGAAAGAGAGAGAGATGGAGAGACAGAGAGCAAAAGAGAGACAAAAAAGTTAATAAGCTCATGCAACTTTTTTTTTTTTGGCGAGGTTTTTGCTATAGGGAGCGTGTGTTTGTGAGAGAGACATAGAGACAGAAAGCGAGAAATCACCCCCAGAGGGGATGGCCTTACCATAATCCCTTCTCCTTCATTCTCCTCTAGGGATCTTGGGCACGCACGCTCATGTGCCCGGCATGAGTTTTAAGCCACCAGGTCTGGGACACGAACCGTGGTTGACTACATGGGAGTCCAGCGACAGTCATTACACAAACTGCTGGTCCCAGCTCATGCAATTTTTGCCATAGGGCGGGTGCCACCATTCCCGCTCATGCAATTTTTGATAAAATAATTTATGAGTTGTCTTAAGAATACTAGAATACAGTGAGACAGGAGTTCAGATTCATCTCTCTGCAGATGGATAGCCAGTTTTTCCAGCACCATTTGTTAAAGTGGTTATCCTTTTCTACTGGATTCACTGGTACCCTTTGTTGAAAACATATTTCTGGGGTCTCTATTCTGTTTCATTGGTCCATCTGCCTGTTTTTGTGCCAATGCCATGCTGTTTTGATTATCACAGTTCTGTAATATATTTGGGGGTCAGGAAATAAAATGTTGCCCACTCAACTCTTCTTGCACAGTATTGCTTTGACAATACAGTGTCTTTTATGATTCCAAACAAATTCTATGATTGTCTTTTCTAGATCTATGAATAGTATCTCTTATAATCTGATAGGGATTACATTAAATATGTAGATTAATTTGGGTAGGATAGCCCTTCTGATTATATTAATTCTCCCAATCCAAGAACATTGGATGTCCTTCCACTTTTTCGTGACATTTTCAATTTCTTTTTTAAGATTTTCATAGTTTTCCCTGTAAAAGTCTTTGACTTTCTTGGTTAGATTTAGTCCTAAGTATCTTAAACTTTTTTGTGACTATAGTAAATGAGATTGCTTTCTTCAGTTCTACCTTTGTCTAGTCTATAGTTGCAGCTATTATCTATAAAATCTAGGTTTGGATCTTTCTTGGGGAAAAAATACCTGGCACTGTGCTCCATTTCTGTAGAGCAATTAGCATAGTTCTCCCACTAGATGAGATATATGTTCTAGTTTGACCTAGTTCCAACTACTGCCTATTATTATTTTAATGAATGTTACCATTTATTATCAACCTGACCTCATGTACTCACTCACCTCACCTGTCTGACCTTTTCAGAAATCCGAATGATACCGTATCTAATCTACTCTTCTCAAAAAATAAAATTTAGTTAAGAAAAGCAATAAAGTCAATAAGCTCACTGAAAAAAATTATACAAATTAATTAAATCTCAACACTTAACCATAGTTTTTAATAATTTTATATTTGTTTCCTGTGCGGATTATGATTGTGTTGTTTTCAGTGTTTATTAACATCAGTCATTTCTGTATGGCAATAAATTTTTTAATATTATGAAATGCAGGTTGGCTCTTTAGCTTAAAGGTTAAAGGAAGAGCATTAAACACCTGAATGACCACAATGAGTACTGGACCTGGTTTGAAAAATATGCCAGGCATGTGTGCATGCATAACCAAAATCTGACAAGAACGGAAAATGGAGAAAGGATTGTGTGACTATATCCTATTAGTGGGTGCTTTCTCCCTTTCCCTCAGGCACGTGTCTGTACCATCTGGCAAATTAAGAGAGATTTATAAACTTTTTTTATTTTTATAAATTTTTTTGCTACAGGCAGCGAGCGGGTGTTTGCTGGAGAGACACAGAGAGATTTATAAACTTCACAACAAATGCATTTCATAAAAATAAAAGTGAGAGTGGGTCAGCCAGCATTACGGTGGTTAAAGCAGTTAGATCCCACATGGCCACTAGCACAGTTCAAGTCCCAGACCTAGCAGTCTGAAAATCAGGCAGGACTTGTGTACATGTAGTCCAAAATCTTGAGAAGAAAATGGAGAAGGGAATGTAGCATGGCCATCCTCCTTCAGGAGGTGCTTTTCTTTTATTGGAGAGGTTTTCGCTATAGGGTGTGTGCGCTCGCCAGCCAGACAGACAGAAAGAGAGAAATCACCCTCCGGGGGGATGGCCACGCCGCAATCCCTTCTCCTCCATTCTCCTCTTGGGATCTGGGGTACGCACGCACACGCGCCCGGAGTGAGTTTTAGGCCACCAGGTCCGGGACGTGAACCGCAGTCGACTACGTGGGAGTCCAGCGACATAGCCACTATCCTAACTGCTGGTTCCCAGGAGGTGCTTTTCTCACTTTCTCTCTCTCCCTAGTGAGTACTCAAGCCCTACATAAAATTTTAAAACAATCAGGTAACAAGTTTATGTCTAAAACATTTAGCATTGTAGTTTCATAAAAATTTCCATATTCACCCTAAAATAATATAACTGAAGAATAGCAGGAAAAGGACAAAGATGCAACAAGGTAGTGTTTTTATTACACCTGAAGTTTCACAAAGTATGAGAGAGTCAAGATAGCACTTTTTTTTTTTGTTAAAGAGAGAGAGCCAGTAAAAGGGAAAGTGAGAAATCACCCACCAGGGGGGATGACTATGCCACAATCCCTTTTCCTCCATTCTCCTCCTTGGATCTGGAGCACACATGTACCTGGTGTGATTTTCAAGTCACCAAGTCCAGGACTCGAACTGTGGTCAAACATGTGGGAGTCTAGGGACGTAACCACTATGCCATCTGCTGGCCCCGGTTTCCATTTTTTAAAAGTTGACAATATGGTCAACATGCACTCGACAGAGAGACAGAGAGACAGGAAGTGAGAAATCACCCCCCAAGGGGAATGGCCACGCCACAATCCCTTCTCCTCCATTCTCCTCTCGGGATCTTGGGCACGCACGCACCAGTGCCTGGCACTGAGTTTAAGCCACCGGGTTCAGGACTCGAACCGCGATCAACTACATGGGAGTCCAGTGACCCAGCCATTACGCTAACTGCTGGTTCAGGACTCAGTATTTCTTACGTACGTAATCTTACTCTTTTTATACTAAACTTGTTTGTAAATTCTGCCAACTCAATCTTTTTATCTTTAACGCTAAGCACAGTGATTCACACAGAACTATATTATCAAAAAGAATGCTAGGTGAATCAAGGATATGCAGAAATAGGCTCTTCTATCATAATCCAATGCTCCTCCCTTATATATACTGCTTCTCACATGGGGTATTGCTAATATATTTATCCATAATCAGTAGTCTCCTGCAGCCTACCAGCAACCATCCTCTCCGCCTACAGCAAAATTCAAATATAACTCATTTCCTAGATCTGCCTATGAGACTGCATTCTATTAAGAAAGTGATTTTCTTCTTTTTACTGAATCCACTCTTCAGTTCAGAACTAAGAAACAGACATGAGGTGTTCTCATCTGCTAAATTTCATAAAATAGGAAACAATTTTCTATACAAGATTTCTATCTCTAAGTACAGTTAATTAAAATGTTGCATTTTTTTTCTAGTTTGTTATAAGCCATAGGCACACACTGAAGAGACAAGGAGAGAAAGTAAGAAATCACCCCTCAAGAATGACCAGGCCACAATCCCTTCTCCCAGGACTTTGGACTTGCATGCACATGTGCCTGGTATGTCTCTCAAGTCACCAGGTACAAGACTTGGAACTGCTGCACAGTTGGTCAGGTAGGCTCCAGCTGCTCCAACCAATGTGCAACCTGGCTAGCCAATCAGATTTTTAGAGATTTTCAATGAAAGCAAATTAACATTCTTATCAACCTCTTTTGTCCACTCCTAATGTAATTCACACAGCAAATGAGAAATGAGAATGTACTGTTTTGAATGTATCTGAATACATTTATGAATGCCAGATTGATAATTAATTAAAAATTAACAATTTGAAGTAAGTGTTAGAAAAGACAACTATGTGGGCTGGCAGGTAGCATGGTGGTTGAAGGTGCCGGATTCCCACGTGGTCGACCATGGTTCAAGTCCCAGACCTGGTGGGTTGCTTTCTCACTTTCCCTTTTTCTCTCTCCTCTTGTCAAATTAAAAAAATAGTAATAGCAAATCGAATTAAATAAATAAATAAAAGACAACTATGCTCTTCCACACAGTGCCTTTTTCTGACAAACACAATGGCTTTGACACAACCA